TGGTTCTAAGTGGGGCTGCCAAAACAAACTCATTTCCAGGTAACTGTAACTTTCTGTGGTCCTTTGCAATCTATCACAGTTAAGGTGATATCACCAATGGTATTACTTCCTTAGCAAAAATTCCTCTCAATTTGGCCAACTCCCAGGAATATCCAACTGTAGGATATTTAGTCACTGCAATTTTAGAATATATTCAGAGTGACTGTAGGGAATATACTCCAAGTTTATCGTCAATATCAGATTGGTTAGAAAGGTTTTCTCATGGAAAGAAAACAGCTCTGGTGGCCTAGTGGTCAGAAATTGTGCTGCAATTCCAAAGGAATGTGGTTCAAATCCACCAGCTGCTCTTTGGGAGAAGTATGGGCATTCTCCTCTTGTATGATTTACTGCCTCTGAAAACCCACTGATGGGTTATCTATAGGTCAGTTCTGACTTGATGGCACACAACAACAGGACTATAAAGAATATAGTCTAAGTTCATTGTCAATATGAGATCACTTAAAAGGTTTTCTCACAGTAATAAAACAACTTTGAGAGAGCCAATATTCACACAAGAAAATCAGTGAACCCTAAAAAAAAAAAAAGAGCAGAGTATCTAAGGTTTTAACCTGAAAGACACAAACTATTTTATTTAACTTGGCCTTCGAAGGTCTCTGTCTTTCTAGAGAACAAGGCTTTACTATGTGGTAGGGTAACTTGCATAAAAAACTAACAGAAAGGCACAGGAAGAGCTTGAAGAAAATTTAAAAATATCACAGACCCAGCCACCACAATCCTGAAACCAGGAGAACTAGGTGGTGGCCAGTTACCACTGCTAACCGCTCCAAAAATGAATTTCAACCCTGAGGTTCTGGATAAAAGTTGAACAAAACTCAAACTCAGACAAAAGGTCATATTTACTGGACTGAGTGTTGGTGGTAAAAACCCTCAAGACTAATGCCCTTACATACCCATCAAGGCTGGGAACTTGAGTCAATGCCTGTGGTTCAACTTTAAGCAGACCAACAAGAGAGTTCAACAAAGTGCCAATAACACCAAGAAAGCATGTACTCCTTTGTGGACAATCTACCACGCCAAATCAACAGGGGAGCACGTGCCCAGGGATCAAGCTCAGAAGGCAGGAAGGGTAAGAAAAGAGGAGGAACAGAAATGGTAAATGGCTGGAAGTGAGTAGAGGGCTGCTGCAGGGTGGTGACTGAAGTCACCATCCCAGAGCAAATCGTGTATGACTGGTTACATGAGAAACTAATCTACTAATTTGTTCTGTAAAGTTTCATTCAGATCACAATAAAAGTTACAAAAGCAAGAATGCCATGGAACCATGAGTAACATGAGCTTGGAGAAGCTGCAGAGCAAGAAAGGAAGGTCCAAGAGTTTAACAAAGTTTCTTCTGGAGCCTCCTTCAGCCTTTTCCTACATGTTAACAAGGAGATACATCATAGGGGTTGAAAACAACCAATCAACAGCCACCAAAATGACAGGGGGTAGATGTTACCTCAGCACAAAAAGACTTTCCTCCAGACCTAGCCAAGTGTGGAGATGGGCATCCTGTTAAAGGTGGATCATGTAAACTCACTATTAATAAAGCCTGAAAGCAGCCCTGATGGCAGAAGGCGGTATGTGTTTGACTGCTAATGGAAAAGTCAGAAGTTCAAACCTACCAGTGACTCTGCCTGAGACAGATGAGGTAGACCCCCTCGCCCCCACTAAAGATTTAAAGCCTCAATAAAGGGTCGTCCTGAACCGGAGCCAACTTGTTGGCAGTGGGTTTGGTTCTGGTATCTTACAGCTGTAGGGGCATCAGGCACTGGGTAGCTGGGATGGTGCAAACAGCACTACTGAGAACTCACTCTATCCAGGCGCCGTGGGCAGCACCTGGAAGAGCTCATGCAACCCTTCAAGAGCCCATGAGGCAGGGCCACGCATCCCAGTGTTAGTCACCCAGAAACCGGCTCAGGGTCACCAGGGTTCACTGCAAGGTGCTTTTCTCTAGAGAACCTTCCTCATTCCCTTCAAATCTCTATCCCGAGGCTATGAACCACTTACCTCAAACACTGTTTAAACAAGGAACTCACATCTTCTCATTTCTTAGTTTCTCTTCTTTCGAGACTGAGCAAAGGGTGAGTGAGCTCTGCTGGTGGCTTAATGGTAAGAAACTGCACTGTCAACCCAAAGGTACATGGTTCTAATCCACTAGCTGCTTCATGGGAGAAAAATGGGGAACCTCCTTCCATGTGCTTTACTGCCTCTGAACCTGCTGGTGGGTCAGATAGGAGTTGGTTCTGACCCCACGGCAATAGGTGAGTTGCTGACTCATAAGGAAAAGAAAAATGTAAAGGTGTTAAACAATAAGAGGTATCTAGAAGATGAGGCAAAGAAGGGGGGGAGGAGAAATGGTAGATGAAAGGGCTGGTTGGTCATAGTGTAAGAGACTGGTGAAACCCCAAGGCTGTGGCCCTTAGACACCCCTCAAATGACTCCACCTCAAGAATCAACTTCTAACCAAACAATAAGCCAGTAATGTGGATAATAATATCTGAAAGGAATGCACTCTTCAGTCTAATCAATCATGTAACAAAAGGCAGCATTTGCCCAAAAGCAAAGAAAAGGAGGCAGAAAGGGCAGAAGAGAAGGAGGGATGGGAACCGAGAGGAGGTGGGCAGAGTGTTGTTACATCACAGAGGAGGGATGGAAAATGGGAGGAGGTGGGCAGAGAGCCATGACATCGAGGAGACTGCAACTAATGCCACGAAACACAGTGTACCCAGACTGCAGAACAGAAAATGAATCTGTCCTGTGAACTCTCACTTGAGCTACAATAAAACAAATAAATACATAATGGACTGCTAGGAGAACAAACAGGTTTGTCCTGGAGAGAGTGAAACTGGGCTGCTCCTTGGAGGCAAGGATTCTGAAGCTTCCTCTGACGTACTATGGGCATGTTGCAAAGAGGGATTGGCCCTTGGAGAGAGACATCATGTTTGGGAGAGTGGAGGGACAGGGCAGGAGAGGAAGACCCTCGATTTGATGGATCGATTCTGTGATTGGAGTGGTGGGAACGAGTGTGTTTGAGATGGTGAGGTTGACACAGGAGAGAACGGCATTTAGGACTCTTGTACACAGGGGTCGCTATAAGTTGCAAGCGACTCGACGGCACGTAACAACAACATCATCAATAAAGGTAGACTGGCTTGGAGAGAAGCTGCTTCTACCTCTGTGGAATGCCCACCTGGTCCAAAAATCTTTTAACAACATATCCAAGCATAAAAACCCGCACTCCTCCAGGTGCTCACAGGACCCCAACGTGCCATCAAGAATTCAAGCCCGTTAACTGGTAGCCGTTCCATCGGTAGAACTTTCAGCTTTGAGTCAGTGTTGGCACAAGTCTAAGGAGGTTCCTTTAGTCTGATGTTGTTGCTGTATACCAGCGAGGAAAAACCTACTTATTTCTGACCCTCTAGTGGGTTTTCAGAGGTAGTTAAATGCACAAGGGGAGGTTGTCCATCTCCCTACTACAGATCAGTGGTAAGGGGTTGTGCAGCCAACCCAAAGTCAGAGCTATTATCAGGGAGGGAGAAAATCCTACACAACTGCAACTCACAAAATCACAAATAAGCAATATGTCTATCACAGCATATTGGAACCAGATGTATTCCCATAATGTTTTCTTTATACAGATGCTAAAAAAGAAACAGACCTACTGAAACATAACTAGAATGCTGGATGGATTTTTTTTTAATGATTGTTTTTCCTTCACCAGGGATACAAAGTTTTGTCATGTGGTTACTAAGTTGACAGTTTCTCTATAATTAAATCACCTGACTGTCACACATCTCCTGCTGTGCAGTCAGTTCAGTGCGGTGACCTCATAGGACAGAACAGAACTGCCCACAGGGTTTCAGGCTTCAGCACTGGAAGCAGAGGGTCACCTCTTCTTTCTCCCACCAGGTGGCTATGGGTGTCAAACGACTGACCTTTCAGTTAGCAAGCAAGCATTTAACCCCTGCACTGCCAGAGCTCCTTCTGACTGCTGCAGTTATCTGCAGAAAGATGGAGAAAGACCCCACTTCCAAGACTGAGGGAATGCTCCCAACCAAGGCCCAGCCCTTTTTTCATCTATATCGTTTCCGTCTGATTTTTCTCAGGGTAGTCAGCTACCGGCTATCTTAGGGAATAAAGTAAGAGCAGAGGAATTTTCTGTTATTAAACATTAATGGCAAAAATTCAGAAAAGACTTTGAGAAGTCAGCCACAGCTTCAGTGGGAACATGATTTTCCTGTGTGAGAAAGCAATGTCATACACTTAAACCCTTAAACAGGTCTAATTCTTTGAATTCATCATTCTACTGCTATGAATCAGCCTAAAGGACTCATCAGACACTATAAAGATTATTAGATATAAAAATACTTGCCATGACATTATTTGTAATAGCTAAAACCCAGAAACCATCAGTCTATTGGAGAAGGAATATTTAAAGAAAGGTTGGCACTATAACAAAATACTATGGGTCAAGATCACAGCCAAGGTTCCTCTTTACTCATTTGCAAAGATGATCACAACTGTTAGTGGAAAAAACAAAGTAGGTTATAAATGGAACACATTTTTAATAGAGACAATAATATATTGATATATTTAAGAGATACATGTATTACTTTGGGGGAAAGGGAGACCAGCAAGGATAGAGTATGAAATATTCAGTTTTCTCAACAAGCAAAGATAAAAAGTGATTTCTGTTCTAGTACAACTTTTATGCATTGTTAAAAAACATTGTAACAAGTAAAAACTATCTTTTATATTCATGTACACATAAAACAACAACAATCTATTTCTTTAAACATATCAATAATGCCAGGGCATTGCATGGGTCAACAAACAACAATTCCTGCTTTCTTGATAGGCTTCACAGCCCATTAGCAACTCAACATAGCACTTATAACTACCCACATCATCCCAGTACACAATTAGGCATGTTAGAACAATTCATCAAAATGCTTACATACTTTTCTGAAACTCCTCCAGTTTTTTAACGGCTTCATCTCGTTCTTGCCTAATTTTGTCGCACTGAAACAAAGGGAAGGGAGAAAACGGAGAAAGGTTATATTTGTATGATAAGTCTTATGTTTGGAAAAGCACACATTTGTAAACATGTCTTTTTTTCTGAGAACAAAACATTAAAGCAAATTTTCTAAGACACAAAGTATTGGCATGATCATATGAAACAGTGTGAATCAAAGAATGTGTGAAAAACAACGTATATGAATGAAACACAATGTACACAAATTTTGTATGCAAATCAGTATAAAATTAAAATAAATTTAGGAAAACACAACCCAGTCACATGGTGATCACAGTTCAACTGGCAAGGTATTGATAGTGTTGCATCTGGTGAATTTTCTCGATCCTTTAACTAATCAGCGTCCTCCGGTGCAGGTCCTCCTTAGTCATGGAGTTTAACAGCCAGGAGTTACAACGTACTCATTCTTGAGAAGAATGTTGGGGCTCCTTTTTTATTAAGTCCTGCTGCGTTGAGCACCTCGCTCACACAGAGGTCCGGGTCACAGCAGCTTCAGCAGGACACAACACTCTGCCCCTTGTGACCAACGGAAAGGCCACAGAGTTGGGACAAACTGGCCACCTGTCCTCCTGCTGTCATCCAAGGATGACCAACCCTGCTTCCTTAGCATTCTGAACAGAGACAGGAAGCCAATTCAAAAGAGAAAAGACAAAATAACTCACAATAAGCTTGAGTCATTTACATAAACCTATTTTGAATTTTAAAAGGTAGAAGCCCCTGAAAAATCAAAATTAAAAAATGTAAAACTACCCATAAAAGCATGAGGACATCTTGGGACAGCTGATATAAACACAAATATCTCATTTCAACAGGCTCTGATGGGAACTAGTTTTAATATAACCTCAAAATCCAATAAACTCTTTGCCACTGAACTGATTCAAATTTATGGATTTGAACCAACGGAGCACTTGAGTTTTGGTTAATGGTGTAACACACAATAGATTATGCCACTAGAGTTCCTTATTTAAAACCAAAATCCAACTCCAACTCACAGCAACTCTACTTTTCAGAACGACACCTAGGCTTTCAAGGTTGGAGATCATAGTCAAACCACTGGGAAACCAGATCTTACTGAGGAGAACGGACTGACGGTGACTATGAACTGACTCACAGTTGACCCTTTAGCAGGTTCTCAGAGGCCCTAAATCATGCGGAAGGAGACCATCCATCATTCTCCTGAGAAGCAGCTGGTGGGTTTGAACTGTCTGTCTTTAGACTGGTAGTGCAACTCCTTACCCACTAGCCCACCAGAGCGCCCTTGAGGAATCACAGAAAACGAAAAAAATCCTATCTCCACTCGTATGGGCAAACCCAATGTGGTCTAAGAGGGCATGAACCAAGCCACAGCACTAGATGAGCAAAGCTGGTCACTCAGTCCTCATTCTGACCACCTACAACACAGGTAAGGCTGGACCAAGAGTCACTTCCTAAGGGGGGAGGCATATACTTGGGTTATAGTTTCCTTGTGAAAATGCACCCAATGGAAAAACAATATTCCTGTCTAACAGTTTCCAGTTCCAATTCAGCTGACAGAATGCATGTGGTGTTTTTGTTGTTCTGGGTTTTTTTTTTAAAAAAAAAAATTAATTTTATTATTTTGTGTGTACTGTCAAATCAGATCTGACTGGTACAGGAGGAGATTGTCCCTCCTTCTCCAGCAGAGCATCTGGTGGATTCAAACTGTACTTTAGGGATAGCAATGTACCTTCTTACAGTGTTTTGTTTTTGATTCTCAACACAAGTGTGCAGGACAGTCAAATAAACAAGTTTCACCGGCCCTTGTTTTTGATTCTCAACACAGGTGTGCAGGACAGTCAAATAAACAAGTTTCACCGGCCCTTCCTCTGAGTCACAATGACCGAATCAGACAGTACGGCTCTTGATTCTGTGCAAGTGCTGGTCAGTTGCTTCAGGATCTTCACCGTGCGTTCGCGGACTCACCCTCTGCTTGATGCTCCAGGTGCCTGCCCGCCCACCCACCACTCCACCTCAGATAATGCACAGTCCAGTCGAAGGTTCAGAAAGGGGGCCACATGGCTTCTTCCTGACCAGACAAATCTCTGAGTCGTGACTGCTGAATGCTCTGACGTTTGACTTGCACACCACTTCCCTTTCGTGTTTCGTCATCTGCTATTTCCAAGGGCTGAGATGGCCTGAGGCACTCTCTCCTCTAAGAGTTGTCTCTTCCTAAGTTTTCTCTGATGTCACAAGGGCTGTATCTCTCCATCTGCCTCAGCAGACACCCACCTGGCGGCATTCCACTCTTTTCTTTTTAAAAAAA